AACCTTATATACGGCCTCAGCTCCCGCGTGATTGTGATACCCTCTTCCTTCCGATTCATTTTTGGTCTAGAGACCTGAATCCAGAATGCTTCGAGGGTTTTCGTGCGGGTGTTTGCGATTCTCGTGCTAAGACCACGGCCGTGATCTCGAAATCGGCTCCATAGTGAGTTTCCACCCTGTGGGCGCCCAAGGCAGATGACATGCGTGACCTGACCTTGCCTTCTACGTGCTCCTTGATGCGTACGCATAGCGGTCTTGATGTTTCGCTGATGTATTCCTCTCCGCAACTGCAACATGTGATCTTGTAGACCACCCCTGCGATTGTGCAATCGCCTTCCTTGCCGGTTGGGCAGACCACACAGTTAGGAACCAACAGTTAGGTGAACCAAAACCCTTCGTTGAATTTTTTACTCATCAGTATCACACCTACCACAGCATACCAGCACTGCCATCTATAAAGAGTAAACTGGTGACTGATACAATGGATAGCTCGAGGCCTGGAGAGTAAACCCTAGGTAGGACCCTACGAAATGAATGTACGATAGGTGGCACAGGTCTTACCGCAGTATAGGTAGTCCGTCAGTCATATGCATTTCGAAAAAGGACTTCTTCTGAATTTCTCTTTACAATATCTGAGACGATGGTGCGAGAATTACCAAACTTCCATAATAAAGACAAGCCCATTAGCATAGCAACGGCTTTCAACATAGACAGCCATGTGAACCTTGTAAAATAGTATTCAAAACAAGCGGGAACTCATTCAGTTTCCCAGAAAATGCCCCCTAAGCGATTCAGACTACCAATTGCTCAATATTTCCCAACAAACTTCCCCATTTGTCACAACAACCATGATTACTTCACAGTAGGTTACAGGTAGTTTGAAAGATACCGGCCAAAAATATCGCGAATGGCCCATCTGTCTCATCGTGTTCGACATATAATCCCTCACAAGACTAATTCTGGCCACCCCATCACTGAAATCTATCAAATCTGTGCTAAGTGTACAAGTGCGACTGCCTAAGAATCTCGGCATGCTTCTTCACAGTTTAACGTTGTCTTTTAAGCTGTAGGACCGAGATTGCAACAAAATTTTATTAGGCAGACGTTTCGTTGCCTTCATCTTCCTCGGAGCCTGGAAAGACAAAAGGGTGAAGGCACCGAAACGTCAGCCTAATAAAATTTTGTTGCAATCTCGGTTCTACAGCTTAAAAGACAACCTCAATCTGAGCCAAGTATTTGGCTTTGATGCAGCATTTGAAGGATCCTATGCATGCTTCATTCCAACTCCCGAGTTCTTCATTATCACTTTGCACTAGTTTACTGGATTACTGACCAAATTCCCACATGAACGTGAGTTTTGAACTTCGCACGATCATTTTCGCCTGTCAGCATCTTATAAAATAAAAACTTGTAGAACACATTATTCAATTTCAATAAAACCAGTTTAGAATTGTCAGTGCGTGACAGAAACAGTGCTTTGCAAATACAATAGCTGGAATTCGTTTCGGTCACAGCTATCACTTAATTGACATTCTTTTCGTAAAGAAACCTCCAATAAATATAATGACAGCGTTCACTGTAAAGAATGATAAATTCCAAATGAACTTCCACGATGAAATGTAAAATGCCGAAATAAAAATGAAAAACTAGTTACTAAAAATGAGAAAAGTGCAAGTTTTTTTCTTTGCAAAGAATCCTTGCTCCCTACTTTTTGTGCCAAAAAGTACAAGTAATAGCGATCATGTAG